GTTAAAGACAGAAAAACCAAATGTGATCATTGGAATGGGGGGCTATATAACTTTTCCAGCGGGCTTGGTTTCCAAATACTTAGGGATCCCATTGATTTTACACGAACAAAATTCGGTCGCTGGCCTAGCCAATAAACTCTTAGCAAAAGTTGCTCAAAAAGTTTTGGTTGCATTTCCAGGATCAATCGTTAACGGACATCACACAGGAAACCCTCTTAGGGCTGACTTTAAACGTTTTGCAAGACATGAAGACAAAACGGACCCCAAAAATCGGCTACACATTTTGGTGATGGGCGGCAGCTTAGGAGCACAGGTCTTAAATGACGTTGTCCCTAAAGCGATTGCCTTAATCGATCAAGAGACTCGCCCGACGGTTTTGCATCAAGCTGGCGTAAAAAACATTGATCAACTCAATGCGCATTATCAATCACTAGGTGTGATAGCTCAGACGATGGCTTTTATTGATGACGTTGCCAGTGAGTTTGCAAGAGCCGATTTAGTGATTTGTCGTGCAGGTGCGATGACTGTTGCAGAAGTTGCTGCATCGGGAAAAGCCGCTTTATTTATTCCGTTCCCTTTTGCTGTCGATGACCATCAAACGACCAATGCTCAGTATTTAACCAGTCAAGGTGCAGGTTGGCAAATGGCACAAAACACGCTAACCCCTGACAATCTTGCGCAATTTATTGTTTCATTAGATCGTCATCAACTTGAAGAAACGGGTAAAAAAGCCTTGCAATTAGCTAAGCCCAATGCCACGCAAGAAATTGCAGAAATCTGTGCGCAAATTGCAGGTAAGCCATTGATGGTTAACAAAGAACAGAACAAAGAACAGAAGGTCACCGCATGAAACATGTTGTTAAGAAAATTCATTTTATTGGCATTGGCGGTACAGGAATGTGCGGAATTGCCGAAGTACTTCTGACGACGGGGCATTACCAAATTAGTGGTTCTGACATGACCTCTAATGCGGCGACTAAACGACTTAAAAAGTTAGGCGCAACCATACATATCGGTCATAAAGCAGAAAACTTAGCTAAGGTCGATGTTGTTGTGGTGTCAACGGCCATCTCCGAGGAAAATCCAGAAGTGATTTTGGCACGAGAAAAAGGTATTCCGATTGTGCCAAGAGCAGTTATGTTGGCCGAATTAATGCGTCTAAAACAAGGAATTGCCATTGCTGGAACGCACGGTAAAACCACAACGACAAGTTTAGTCGCTAGTGTTTTAGCACAAGGTGGCCTTGATCCTACTTTCGTGATTGGAGGGCGTTTAGTTTCAGCAGGAGCTAACGCAAGATTAGGTGCGGGTGATTTTATTGTAGCCGAGGCAGATGAATCTGATGCATCATTTTTAAATTTGTTACCCGTCATTGAGGTCATTACCAATATTGATGCTGATCATATGGAAACCTATGGTCACGATTTTAATAAATTGAAACAAGCTTTTGTCGATTTTACACAACATTTACCTTTTTATGGCTTGGCCGTCCTATGTGTGGATGATCCTCATGTAAGAGAGATCATACCTAGGATAAGTAAACCGATTATTCGTTATGGATTTGCAGAAGATGCACAAATTCGTGCAATCGATGTGGTTGCTAAAAATGGACAAATGCAGTTTAAGGTTAAACGCGTTGGTGAAAAAGACCTCAAAGTGACCCTCAACTTACCAGGGTTACACAATGTGCAAAATGCATTAGCTGCGATTGCCATTGCCACCGAACTGGAAGTTGATGATGCAGCCATAGTTGAAGCACTAAAAACCTTTGATGGTGTAGGAAGACGTTTCCAACGGTATGGCGAGATCGCTACAAAGCAAAATGGGACGTTTACCTTGATTGATGATTATGGTCATCACCCCGTTGAAATGAAGGCGACGATTGAAGCGGCCAGAGGCGCATTTCCCAGTAGGCGTTTAGTTTTAGCTTTCCAGCCACACCGCTATACTCGTACACGAGATTGTTTTGAAGATTTTGCCAATATTTTATCGTCGGTAGATGGTTTGTTATTAACAGAAGTTTACGCTGCAGGTGAGCAGCCTATTGTTGCAGCTGATGGTCGATCGTTGGCAAGGGCAGTGCGTGTCCATGGTAAGGTGGAGCCCGTTTTTGTGGAAGATGTTGCGCATTTGCCAAGTCAAATCCTTGAATTTGCACAAAATAATGACGTCATCATCTGTATGGGAGCAGGATCGATCGGTGGTGTACCTGCACAAGTTGTTGAATTGGTTAATGGTTAATATGGTTGAGTAAAGATATGCAAGTGAAACAAAAAGTCGTTGTGATCATGGGCGGATGGTCAGCTGAGCGAAGTGTGTCCTTAGAGTCAGGTATGGGTGTCCTTAATGCCCTCAAAAGTCGTGGCGTAGATGCTCATGCTTTTGATTTGGGACATGATGCTTTGTCTAAATTGCAAGAAGAGCAATATACTCAAGCCTTTATTACGGCACATGGTCGTTATGGTGAGGATGGCTGTTTACAAGGGTTGCTTGAAATTATGCACATTCCCTACTCGGGAAGTGGCGTTTTGGCGTCGTCCATGGCGATGAATAAAGAAACCACTAAACGGTTATGGAGCAGCTTTAATCTTTCGACCCCACAATTTCGCATGCTTAGTCAAGATACTGATTTTGATGCCGTTGTTGAAGAGTTGGGGTTACCGCTCATGGTAAAACCTGCACGAGAAGGTTCTTCTTATGGTTTAACGAAAGTCACCGTATTCTGCTGTGATGGTCGAAGAATATATTATTGGTGATGAACTGACATGCGCCATGATCGAAAACGTTGATGGAACTGTGCAGGCATTACCTTTGATTCGGATTGTGCCTAAGACTGGTAGTTTTGACTTTGAAAGTAAATACTTACGTGATGATACTGAATTTCATATTCCGTGCGGTTTAAGTGACGCGATGGAGCGTGAAATCCAAACGTTGGCATTGGCAGCTTATAAAACGTTAGGATGCAGAGGTTGGGCAAGAGCTGATGTCATGCTCGACAAAAATCGTAACAAACCTTTTTTATTGGAGATGAATACAGCACCAGGGATGACCAGTCATTCTTTAGTTCCCATGGCAGCTAAGGCAGCTGGGTTATCGTATGAAGATTTGGTGATAAAAGTGTTGGCAACGGCTCGCAATGATCATCAATTGAATAACTCATTGTGATGATGAATGTTTAGCATACTTTGGCAAGATGAAAAAAGTTTAAATGACCTTGGCCGAGCCTTGATGTGGTTAGTTGCGGCAGTTTTTTGCTTTGTACTCTTGTTGGGATTAAGGCAACTGCCTTGGTTTGAGGTTAAGCATGTGATTGTTGAGAGCGATAAAGACGAAACATTGCGCTTTATCAATCAAAAACAAATTGAAGGCGTGTTGCGACAAAGTCAAGGAGGTAATTTGTTTGCCATTGATTTGCAAGGAATTCGACAACAGGCGATGCAGTTACCTTGGGTAAGGCAGATCACGGTGCGACGAGTATGGCCAAATACGCTGCTTCTTAGAATTGAGGAGCATCAACCTTTGGCAAGATGGAAGGAAGGGGCGTTGGTTAATGCGCAAGGAGAATTGTTTTTTGCCAGTAGTGCACAAGCAGAAGAAGATGGTGAATTGCCTGAGCTGTCTGGACCTGATGGTTCGGAAAAGATGGTGTCGGATAGGTTTAACGATATTAATCAATGGATTAAACCCTTAAAAACCAAGGTGCGTCGTTTGGTGTTAAGTGACCGTTATGCGTGGGATGCTGTTTTGAGTAACGGATTAACGCTAAAACTTGGACAAGAACGTAAGGAAGGTTGGTTACAGACCCGTGTGAAACGGTTTGTAGCAAGTTACCCCAGTGTGGTCAAAAAATGGGGACGAGATATTACGGTGGTTGATTTGCGTTACAGCAATGGTTTTGCTGTAACAGCTAGAAATTTAGAGTTTGTATCAGAGCTGGGCGCTAGTGCACCTGTAGACAGTACAAATGCAGGGGTCGGAACCCGATAGTGATTGATTAGTAAGGACAAAACATGAGTCGCGAAGCGAAAAATATTTTGATTGCATTGGATATTGGCACATCCAAGATCGTTGCTTTGGCTGCAGAAGTCCAACCCGAAGGGCATTATGATGTCATTGGATATGGTTATAGTGATTCGAAAGGTCTTAAAAAAGGTGTGGTTGTCAATATTGAAAGCACGGTGCAATCGATCACTAAAGCCATTGAAGAACTGGAGTTAATGGCTGATTGCAAAGTACATATGGTATGCACAGGAGTTGCAGGTAGCCATGTCAAAGGATTTAATTCGGTAGGCATGGTGGCGATTAAAGATCGTGAAGTTTCACAAGCCGACGTTGATCGTGTGATTGAAACGGCCAGTGCGGTTAATTTACCTAACGATAAACAAATTCTCCATACCTTGACACAAGAGTACAAAATTGATGACCAAGAAGAAATCCGTGAGCCTATTGGTATGAGTGGATTAAGGCTGGAAGTGAAGGCTCACATAGTAACGGGTTCGATTTCAGCAGTACAAAATATTATCAAGTGTATTCATCGTGCTGGGATTGATGTTTCCGATTTGGTATTACAGCCATTAGCATCAAGTTATGCCGTTTTAACGGAAGATGAGAAGGAGTTGGGCGTTGTTTTGATCGATATTGGCGGCGGCACAACGGATATTGCGATTTTCGCGGGCGGTGCTATTCGCCATACAGCGGTGATTCCAATCGCTGGTGATCAAATCACCAACGATATTGCCATGGCATTGCGTACGCCGACTCAGGATGCTGAAATGATTAAGGTTGAGCGCGGGGTTGCAAAACAAATGTTAACGGACCCTGATGAAATGATTGAAGTGCCTAGTGTCGGTGATCGAGAGCCAAGGGCAATTTCAAGGCAAGTGCTTGCAGCAGTGATCGAACCACGAGCTGATGAATTGTTTCGACTCGTACAAGAAGTCATTTCCCAGTCAGGTTGGGAAGATGCGTTGTCATCAGGGGTGGTACTGACAGGGGGAGCTTCGTTAATGCCCGGGATGGTTGAATTAGCAGAAGAAGTGTTTTTAAAGCCAGCGCGAGTAGGTATGCCGCACTATGATCGAAATCTCAAAGAAATGGTGCGTTCACCACGTTATGCAACCGCCATTGGCCTTTTAGAGTATAGCTATCGTCGTTTGGGTAAAACAGTAGAGGTTGTGAGTCGAAATGAGTCGGCAAGTTTTAAGGATATTTTGAAAAAAATGTCATCTTGGTTTAAATCGAATTTTTAAAGTTGGAATGTGAGTGTTTATATGTGTGGTTTTTCTTTTTTAGTCGTGTTAGGAGGCAATTGTGGATATTACCGATATTAAAGTCGTAGAGCCTGATTTATCGTCGGGCATCGTCATCAAGGTCGTCGGGGTCGGTGGTGCGGGTGGCAATGCCGTTCAGCACATGATAGAGCGTGGCGTTGATGGCGTGGAATTTATTTGTGCTAATACAGATGCACAGGCGTTAACGCGTTCTGGCGCAACAAAGCTCATTCAGCTTGGCAAATCAGGTTTGGGTGCTGGCGCACGTCCTGAAGTAGGCCGAATGACTGCTGAGGATTGTCGCGACAAGATCGCTGATGCGATTCGTGGTGCCAATATGGTTTTTATTACTGGCGGCATGGGGGGGGGTACAGGTACTGGCGCGGCACCTGTTGTAGCACAAGTTGCTAAAGAAATGGGTATTTTGACCGTGGGTGTGGTGTCCAAGCCATTCCAGTTCGAAGGCAAAAAACGCATGGATTTGGCAGAAGTGGGTGCAAATGAGTTGGCCAAAAACGTCGATTCCTTGATTGTTGTTTTAAATCAAAAGCTTTTTGAAGTGATGGACGACGATGCAGGTTTAGATGATGCCTTTAAAGCAGCCGATGATGTTTTGTACAATGCGGTAGCTGGGATTGCCGAAGTCATTACCTCAGAAGGTATTGTTAATGTTGACTTTGAAGATGTACGTACTGTAATGGCAGAGCAAGGCAAAGCCATGATGGGGACAGCAACAGCAAAAGGTCCTGATCGGGCGAGAAATGCAACTGAACAGGCAGTTAAAAGTCCTTTACTGGAAGGCATTAACTTGGCAGGTGTTCGAGGTGTTGTTCTCAATATTACGGGTAGTCGTTCTAGCTTAAAACTTCGTGAGACACAAGAAGCTGCTGATATTGTTAATCAATATACACATGGTGAAGCTACACTCATTTTTGGTGCGGTGTACGATGATACGATGGGAGACGAGATTCGTGTGACGATTATTGCGACGGGTTTAGGTGACGCACAAAAACCTATCCGAGGTTTGGAGTCGCCACAGCAATTTAATCAGACACAAGAAGCGCCACAGGTGCAGCAAGCTGCTCATGTTCCACCAAATCCATGGAGTAATACGGTCAATAGCGCGACACCCATTCCGCAAGGTATTCCGAATTATGGTGGGCATGGTGAGCGAGCGCCTACACATGCTCAGGAGCCTCAGATTCCTGTTGCAGCAAGCGCAGATGCAACTCGCAAACCAAGTATGCCAGCTGGGGTTTGGCAGGTCAATAGTGCGCGGCAGTCAGCCAATGCTCAAATTGATGCGTTAAGAGAAAAGGGTTATGATACATTGGATATCCCAACGTTTTTGCGCAATCAAGCTGATTGATGGTTTTTTAGGCTAAGATAATGATGTAATGGCACTATATCGTTTGTCGATGATAGCATGGCGACTGCTTGAGAATAGTTGTCGCTCTTGATATTGTTGTCACATGAACATAAAGGTATACTGTGTCATGGTATCTATGGTTAGACAGCGTCAAATTAGTTTGTGGTGATAAGGCAAATAAGATAAGATTTTCTGTCGATGATAGGTTAACTAGTTAATTCCTGATAGGTTTTTATGATGGTAAGGTTTCAAAAAACGATTGCGCAAGCAATATCGACCACTGGCATAAGCCTCCATGCGGGTGGTCGAGTCAGGATTGAGCTACGCCCTGCGCCCGTTAATCATGGTATCGTCTTTCGAAGGACTGATTTGACTCCTAGCATTGATATTCCTGCTCTAGCTGCAAAGATTGGTGATACACGTTTGGCTTCTGTTTTACAAAATGGACAAGCCCGTGTGTCGACAGTCGAGCATTTATTGTCAGCTTGCGCAGGTCTTGAAATCGATAACTTATTGGTTGAAATTGATGCCGAAGAAGTGCCGATTATGGATGGTAGTGCAGCTAGTTATATTTATCTTTTGCAATCAGCGGGCATTGCTGAGCAGAGTCAATTGCGACAATATATTAAAGTCAAAAAAACCATTCAAATTAATGAAGGGGATAAGTGGGCGCGACTTGAGCCTCATCATGGTTTTAGGCTCGACTTTACCATCGAATTTGATCATCCTGCGGTGAGTAGCACAAAACGCAACTATCAATTTGATCTCACAGCAGAAAATTACATTCGTCATATTGCTAGAGCGCGTACATTTGGTTTTGTTCACGAAGTTGAAGGCTTACGTCAAATGGGTTTGGCTCGTGGCGGTAGCCTTGATAATGCTATTGTTTTTGATCAATATCGCATGTTAAATAATGAAAATTTGCGTTTTGATGACGAACTTGTTAAACATAAGATTTTAGATGCGATTGGAGACCTGTATTTGGCAGGACATCAGATCTGCGGACGTTATACGGCATTTAAATCAGGGCATGGTATTAATAATAAGTTAGTACTTGCTATGCTAAACGACCAATCATCTTATGAGCTCATTACAGCTGATGAGAAAATTGCGATGCAAAACAAAGATGACATGATATTACCTCGTGGGGTGTTGGCATAATTTTATGGCTATCATGAATTCAACATCATTTGTTTTAGGATGGCAAGGGAATCAGCCACGGCTTTGCGCCTTACTGAGAAAGTTCAAATCGATTCAAAAAAGATAAAGTGCTTTATCTATTATGAAAAATATATTGATATGTTTAAGAATCAAAACCTTGTAATTATTTTGTCTGCGTTCCTCATCGTGGGTGCATGCAGACAACAAAACTCAGTCGTTAGCACAGATCAAGTGGCAACACCTCAGGCATCGATCGAAGCTAGTACCGTCATCATTGATGTGCGATCTCCAGAAGAGTACGCCTCTGGGCATTTGCAAAAAGCTATTAATGTCCCATATGATGAAATTTCAAATAAAATCAATGTTTTGGTTCCCAACAAGGAACAGGCGGTATTGTTGTATTGCCGCAGTGGGCGACGTTCGGGGATAGCTTTAAAAACAATGCAGGAGATGGGTTATCGTTCGGTTGTCAATGCAGGCTCGTACGATGAGTTAAAGGCAAAAGGTTTTCAGTAAGTTCAAGCCATCAAAATTAGCTTAGGCAGATTTAATGCCATTTCGACATCAACCGTACATTTTGTCACTCTTGCTGGTTTTGCAACAGCAATAGCTTCGTTTCGCTTACCGTTGGACCCGAAAATGGAATGAATGCCATGGGGAGAAAAAAAGCAAGATGAACATCTTGCCTTCATTCAATCTTATCGCTCAAGTAGCTCAAGTTTGTTCGGTTTATCTTTCCATTCATCTGCATCGGGTAAAGCTTCTTTTGATTCGGAGATACGCGGCCAATCTCGAGAAAGTTCGGCATTGAGCTTGATATACATACGTTGATCAATTTCCAAGTTATCTTCTGCAAGAATTGCATCAGCAGGGCACTCAGGTACACAAACAGCACAATCAATACACTCATCTGGATCAATGACAAGAAAATTTGGGCCTTCGCGGAAGCAGTCAACTGGACAAACATCTACACAATCGGTATATTTGCATTGAATACAGTTTTCGGTGACAACATAGGTCATTATTCAGTCCTTAAACAGCTAAAAAGCTTAAAACGTTATTTTATTTGAAATCTTGCCATTTGGCGATGAGTTAATTAATTTTTGTCATTATGAGAATCCAGCACTTACCATCTTTAAAAACTGGATTCTTCATTTCATGCTGAATGACGGCGTGGGCTAAACAATCATGCCAGCGCCAACGGTATTATTCGTGCTTTCATCAATCACAATAAACGCACCCGTTGCGCGGTTGGTGCTATAGCTATCTACCATCAGCGGTTGTGCGAGCTTAAAACTTAACCGTGCAATATCATTCATTTTAAGGTCGGGCGTGGCTTGATGCTCTAGCGTATTCACATCTACTTTATATTGAATCGCGCCGATTTTCGCTTTAGATTCGCGTGTTGTGTGGCGAATAATATAAGTGCGAGCAGGAGACAAAGGTGTTTCAGATAGCCAGCAAACGTGTGCTTCAATTTGTTTTACAGGCTCAACATTGCTTCCCGTTTTCACAATCATGTCGCCGCGTGAAGTATCGATTTCGTCTTCAAGCAATAAAGTAATACTTTGCTCGGTTTGTGCGCTTGGTAATTGCACGTCCCCTATTTGAATGGCTTTGACTTTAGATTGATAGCCGTTAGGTAGCACCGTAACAACATCGCCCACAGCAATATCGCCACTTTCAACGCGCCCCATAAAGCCTCTAAAATCGTGTAAATCGGCATCAGCACTGGCGTGTGGGCGGCATACAAATTGCACGGGAAAGCGAAACTCTTCTGATTGCTCGGTGTGCGCGGCAGGGGCTTTTTCTAGCATTTCAAGCAGCGTTTCACCAGAGTACCAAGGCATATTGTCTAGTCTATCTACCAGCATGTCGCCATTGAGCGCAGACATGGGGATAAAGCGAATGTCTCTGGCTTGAGCTAAGCCAATTTCTTTGGCAAAAGCTAAATAATCTGCACAAATTTTGTCATAAATGGCTTGGTCGTAATTGACTAAATCCATCTTATTGACAGCGACGACTATATGCTGAATGCCTACCAAGTGCGCTAAATAGCTATGGCGACGGGTTTGCGTCAGCACGCCTCGGCGAGCATCAATCAAAATAATGGCGAGATTAGCAGTAGAGGCTGCGGTCACCATATTGCGGGTATATTGCTCATGGCCAGGCGCGTCGGCAATAATATATTTGCGTGTGCCCGTGCTGAAATAACGGTAAGCCACGTCGATGGTAATGCCTTGCTCGCGCTCTGCTTGTAAACCATCGGTGAGTAGCGACAAATCGACCGCTTCCATGCCACGTTTTTTAGATGTGTTAGAAATATTGGTCAGTGTGTCGGCCAAAATAGTTTTGGTGTCAAATAGCAAACGGCCAATCAATGTGCTTTTGCCGTCATCGACAGAACCACAGGTCATAAAACGGAGGAGGGAGTCATTATGTTGCATCGTATTACTCATTAGAAATAACCTTCTTTCTTGCGCTGTTCCATACTTGCGTCTGAAGTCTGGTCATCCAAGCGGGTTGCGCCACGCTCAGTAATCGTTGTTGTTGCAGTCTCAATCACAATTTTGCTTACATTGTCAGCATCAGATAGCACCGGTGCCGTGCAAGTAATATCGCCCACAGTTCTAAAGCGTACTTGCATATTAACCACCTTTTCGCCCACTTTAGGCACGTTAATCACTTCACCAGAAGCCAAAGGCACATTGGCTGGCATCATGGCACCGCCACGCATAATAATGTCGCGGTTATGGGCAAAATAAATACTTGGTAAACCTAAGTTTTCGCGCTCAATGTATTGCCAAACGTCCATTTCTGTCCAGTTGGAAATTGGAAATGCACGAATATTTTCGCCTTTGTGGCTACGCGCATTGTAGAGATTCCACAATTCAGGGCGCTGGTTTTTTGGGTCCCATTGACCAAATTCATCACGAAAACTCATGATGCGCTCTTTGGCACGGGCTTTTTCTTCGTCACGACGAGCGCCACCAATGCAGCAATCAAAGCCAAATTCCTCAATGGCTTCAAGCAAAGTCACGGATTGGTGTTTATTGCGCGGCTCGTCAGGTGTTTTTAGCACGACAGTGCCACGTTTCATGGAATCTTCCACAGAGCGCACAATCAGGCGTTCGCCAAGCTCAGCCGCACGTTGGTCACGAAAGTCCACCACTTCTTTGTAGTTGTGACCCGTGTCAATGTGCATCAAAGGAAAAGGGAAGCGACCAGGGCGAAAGGCTTTTTCAGCAAGACGCAAAATGCAAAGAGAATCTTTACCGCCCGAAAATAGCAAAATAGGATTGCTACATTGGCCTGCCACTTCGCGCAGAATATGAATGGCTTCAGCTTCTAGCCAATCGAGATGAGATAACGGTTGCTTATTCATTATTTTCAATAAATTACTTAAATATTTAAATGTAATACATTAACTAAATTTTATTTCTTAACCCAACTTTTTCTAAACCAAATTTTTATTTTTTAACATGCAATCCACACTCTTTATTTTGCGGTTCTTCCCACCACCATCTCCCTGCACGTATATCTTCGCCCATCGAAATCGCCCGTGTACAAGGCGCACAGCCAATGCTTGGGTAAAATTGGTCATGCAATTTGTTATACGGCACATTAAACATGCGGATGTATGCCCAAACTTCTTGCTCTGACCAACTGCTCAGCGGGTTAAATTTTTCAATTTTGTTACTTTCGTCAAATTCGCGCACTGGCAAGCTAGCACGCGTGGTAGCCTGTGCGGCTCTCATGCCCGTAATCCATGCTTTTTTACCATTTAATGCGCGTTGTAGAGGTTCAACTTTGCGCATAAAACAGCAGCTTTTACGCAATTCTATACTTTCGTAAAAAGCGTTGATGCCATTTATTTTCACATAGTGCTCAACGGCTTCAAGCTTGGGAAAATACACATTCAGCTTAGTATTATAATGCTTTTCTGTCGCTGCCATTAAGTCATAGGTTTCAACAGGTAGCCGACCCGTATCTAAAGAAAACATACTAATGGGCAGTGCATTCTTTAAAATAACATCTGTAAGTACCATGTCTTCTGCGCCAAAACTATTTGCAAAAGCGACTGAATTTTCGCCAAATTCATTACTTGCCTCACTTAGCAAAGCGCGTACTTCAGCGGTTTTTGTATTTACACTAGCTATCAATGCTTCGGTCAACTCAGGGCTAGTAGCAGGGTTGTTAGCGGCAGGTTTAAGCATGGTAACACCCGAATCAAAGTCTGCCATTATGCACCTCGGTGATAGCGTTTAAACAAAGGCTTAGGCTCATCTACTGCACCCTGATAGGGTTGGCTAAAATCTTTTAAACTCGCAATAGCGTCTTCTGAATTACGGTCTGCGCGAATCACATAGCTATTAAATCCGCAGCGCTTTAAGAAAAATAGTTGATCGCGTAAAACGTCGCCAAAGGCGCGTAGCTCATTTTTATAGCTATAGCGGGTGCGAAGTAAGGTGCCGAGCGAGAAGATGCGCCCATCTGCATAACGCTCTACAAAAATAGCAATGATGGGCAGGCTATTTAGATCGGCAACATTTGCTGGTAAGTTTTCTAACAATTCATGTGTAGCTAACCAAACACCCACTTCCCCAGTGTTGATGCGGCTTTGCAACTCACTTTTGCGTGCAATAAACACACTTAATGGCACGATGATTTTGCCAGTGGTAGGAATCACAGTATTTGAAATTTGCTCGGGCGTGACAGTTCGCTCACCAGTGAGTTTAAATAGCACAACTTTACCTGCTTGTACACGCTCAACTGCTTGGCTAGCTGGTAGCTGAACAAGTGTCCAATCGTCATTAACAATCTGATCGTTTTTAATCAACTGACTCATGCCGCTACTCCTTCTTTAGTGTACACATGTGCTTTAAATGGTGCTACTCCTAAGCGGCGCACTGTGTCTATAAAGCGCTCTTCGGCGGTACGTTCTTTAATATAAACTTCAATCAGTTTTTGTACCACACTTGGCATTTCATCTGCCGAGAAAGAGGGCCCAATTACACTGCCGATGCTGGCATCGTTGCCTTGCTTACCACCAATGGTGACTTGATACCATTCTGAGCCGTCTTTATCTACACCCAAAATACCTATATGCCCAACGTGGTGATGCCCACAGGCATTCATACAACCTGAAATATTGAGTTCAAGTTCGCCTATATCGTGCAAGTAATCTAAGTTATCAAACTGCATTTGTATCGCTTGTGCAATCGGGATGCTTTTTGCGTTTGCTAATGAGCAGAAGTCACCGCCTGGGCAGCAAATAATGTCGGTCAATAAGCCAATATTAGGTGTTGCTAAGCCGTTTGCACGGGCTTTTTCCCATAGCGTAAACAAGTCGCTTAATTTCACATCAGCCAAGATGAGGTTTTGCTCATGTGAAACGCGCAACTCACCAAAGCTGTATTGCTCGGCTAAGTCTGCAACTGCCCACATTTGCTCACTAGTGGCATCACCCGGGGCTTGTCCATGCTGCTTGAGTGATAGCGTGACGGCACGATAGCCCGCTTGTTTATGCGGGTGCACGCAGCGTTTTGCCCATGCGGAAAAAGCAGCACTGTTTGCCAAGGCAGCGTCAAAGCTTGCATCTTGCGCAGGAAAATGCGCATAAGGCATGGTTTCAAAGTGTTTTGCAACACGGGTCAATTCAGCCTCAGTAATGGTGTTTTCGCTATTTTTTAGGTGCGCCCATTCGGCTTCTACTTGACGTTTAAATTCCTCTATGCCTAGAGCCTTAACTAAGATTTTAATACGGGCTTTATAAGCGTTATCGCGGCGGCCGTGTAAGTTGTAAATACGAATGATAGCCTCACAATAAGTGAGCGCGTGTTGCCACTCTAGATGTTCGCGAATGACAGTGCCCAAAATAGGCGTGCGGCCTAAACCGCCACCTACCCAAACTTTAATCGCGATCTTTTGCTTGTCATCCAAATAAAACTCCATGCCAATATCATGCGCTTGCACAACGGCGCGGTCTTGTTTGGTGCCAGATACCGCAATTTTAAATTTGCGCGGAAGAAGCGCGAATTCTGGGTGAAAAGTACTCCATTGGCGCATCACTTCAGCCATGGCGCGTGGGTCAACCACTTCATCTGGCGCAACGCCTGCAAATTGGTCTGTGGTAATGTTGCGTATGCAATTACCTGAAGTTTGAATAGCGTGCATTTCTACCGTAGCAAGCTCGGCTAAAATATCTGGCGAATCTTCTACTTTTGGCCAGTTGAGTTGCAAGTTTTGGCGAGTTGAAAAATGCCCATAACCTTTGTCATACTTCTTGGCGATATCACCTAATTTGCGTAATTGACGGCTAGATAACATGCCATAAGGCACGGCAATGCGCAACATAGGCGCTTGGCGCTGAATGTATAAGCCGTTTTGCAAACGTAGTGGGCGGAATTCATCTTCAGTCAGCTCGCCAGCCAAGTAGCGGCGTGTTTGGTCACGATATTGCGCTACACGCTCATTGACAATTTGCTGGTCTATTTCATCATATTTATACATATTCTTTAATTTCTAAATCAATTTTCCGAATTCAAATTTCTAGGGTTAATCATTAAGCCAACACAAACTTTAAGCCAATTATCAATAACAATGTTGCTAATACTGGTCGTAGCACTTTCTCTGGGATTTTTGCACTTAAATGGCTACCTATCCAAATGCCTGGCAAAGAGCCTATTAATAAGGTGCCAAGCAAGGCGAAATCCACATGGCCTAATGTCCAATGCCCAAAACCAGCCACCGCAGTAAGTGGAATTGCATGGGCTAAATCTGTACCAACTACCTTCAAAGTACTCATTTTAGGGTAGAGAAATAAAATAGCAACCGTACCTAATGCGCCTGCACCTACCGAAGAGATAGTCACTAACACCCCTAAAATGAACCCGATTAATATCGTTGCGGGCACTTGCATTTGCTTAAAGCGGCCACTACTGATGAGGCTGTTTTCTATTTCACGAATTTGTTTGCGCGTAACATAACTGCGAATGAGTACTGCAGCAGCCGTCAATATCAGTGCAATGCCCAATGTAAAAGTGATTAACCCCGTCACATCTTTTTCAATGTTCATTAGATGTTTAATCACGAAAATAGTAGCAACTGCTGCTGGCAAGCTACCTAGTGACATCCAGCCAACCACGCGCCAATCTACCGATTTATGCGTGTTATGGTGCACAAACACGCCGCCTGTTTTAGTCAAAGCAGCGTAGAGTAAGTCTGTACCAACAGCTACGGTAGCTTTAAAGCCAAATAAAAATACTAGTAGCGGCGTCATCAGAGAGCCGCCGCCCACACCAGTCATGCCGACTAATAAGCCGACACCAAAGCCAGCAATAATGTAACCAAAATCCATGAAGGGAATCCGTGCTGCAATCTATTTTTTTAAGATTTCGCACTATAGCAGTTTATAACAATTGCTTTTATACGGATTTGTTCTATCATATAGCGATTAGTTATAAAGAAATAGATTTAAGATGAAAATTCACCAACTACGTTACGTGCATGAAGTTGCGAAAAACAAGCTGAATATTTCTGCCGCTGCTGAAGTTTTACACACCTCACAGCCAGGTGTAAGCAAGCAGATTCAACTGCTTGAAGATGAGCTTGGCTTACAGATTTTTCAGCGCAACGGTAAACGTTTATCTGGGATTACCGAACCTGGTGAAATTGTCATTAGCCTCGCACAGCGGATTATGCGTGAGATGGAAAGTATTAAGCGGGTTGGTGATGAGTTTGCCAATGTCAGTACTGGCATGCTGACAATCGTTACTACGCATACGCAAGCTCGCTATAAATTGCCTGCTGCGGTTAAAAGTTTTATGGAAATGCATCCTGAAATTAAGCTTAATATTCACCAAGGTAGCCCCAGCCAAGTGGCTGAGCAAGTTGTAAGCGGCGAGGCCGATGTGGGCATTGCCACCGAAAGCATTAGCAATTTTGATGAAATTTTATGTTTGCCTTGTTACCAGTGGAACCGATGCGTGGTAGCACCGTATGGTCACCCGCTATTAAAGGAAGAAGAATTAACCTTAGCAAAAATTGCTAGCTATCCGATTGTGACTTATGACTATGCATTTACAGGCGCAACTTTGGTAAGTCGCGTGTTTCATGATGCCGGCATTGAGCCAAACGTGGTGCTCACGGCGATTGATGCGGATGTGATTAAAACTTACGTAGGTTTGGGCATGGGTATTGGTTTGGTGGCGCAAATGGCCTATGATGAAAAGCGTGATAGTAATTTAGCTATGTTGGATGTGAGCCATTTATTTCCACCCAGCACCACTTATTTAGGTGTGCGTAAAGAAGCTTTTTTGCGCAGTTATATACTAGATTTTATGCAACTTTTAGCACCCAGTTATAGCCGTAAGGATATTCAGCGCGCATTGAAATTTTAACTACGTCTTATGTAATCAAGGTCACTGAGCAAGCAACTCATTTAGCCCAAGATACATGCCTTCATTGGAGAATGCGATGAGATACCTATATTATCAATTTAGCCTGCTCATCATGTTTTGCTCAGGCTGTGCCGTGGCAGCGCCTAGCAATGACATGCCAACCATAGACCTAAACAGTGCAATTTACGAAGTGCCAGTGAAAGCAGGGCTGAGTTATCAAGACGTTGTGGACAGCCTTAAAAGCGTGTCAGCGGGGATGAATTATGTTAACGCGGCAACATTTAACATTTCAGACCAATTAAAAAAACGCGACATTGACCCGCAAGGCATTAAAGAAGTGTTTGCGACATGTAATTTAGGAATGGGCGTAGAAATAATGCTCGACCACCCAGAATTTATTGTGTTTGCCCCGTGCCGCATTGCGCTGTATGAAAAAATGGGTGCCGATAAAAAAATGCACTTATTTTTAGCATTAGCTCGCCCCACTTACGATTTAAAAAGCATCAAAAACCCCACCGAGCGCGCAAAAAAATCAGCACAAGAGCTTGAAGACGGGCTGATTAAGTTGATACAAAGCGTCAGTCGCGGCGAGTTTTAATACGCTGCATAAACCTAATAAATCACTTTAAAAAAACATTGTAACTGGCGCCTAGAGATTTTTATGCCTCTGTAAGCCGCATGCAGACTGGCTTACAGAGGAGGTGAAATGATATTGTGTAATAAATTGGTTATTAAATTAATGTTTTTTGCGTTAGCAATACGTTCCGCTAACATAAAACCAGCGTCCATTTTCAAATACAAATTCGCTGATTTCATGTAAGCGTTCAGCTTTGCCAGCAATTTTATAGCGTGCAACAAATTCTACTTTTGCAGTGGTTTCGCTGATTTTTTCTGTGTGTTTGATTTGCAAACCTAGCCATTTCAAGGCTTGCTCATCTGCTAACTCAAGGGCAGCAGGGCGCGTAGTTAGGTGCCAAGTGGCAAGCAAATAATCTTCAAGTTTTAATACATAGGCGGTATAGCGTGAACGCATGAGCTTTTCGGCATCTGGGGCTACTTCACCTAAATGATAAGGCTGGCAGCAAGCATTGTATGGTTTGCCGCTTTGGCACGGGCATGTGCTTTGAGTTTCAGGTTTCATAGATTAAATATATGCCAAAAAGCCTTATGGATATTGGCTCGCAGGCTTATGGGTTGCAGTGTCTCGCCTTGAAAGTATTGTGGCAATCGGTGCATACCACGCCCATGTTGCAAAATGCTTCAAACGATTCGGTGATTTCACCCTCATTCTGAAACATCGCCTCGCATGCATCGCACCAAGCTTGCAGGTCGTTTGGGTCGTCGCTGATCTCCACAAAACCCACCACGCGGTTTTTCGCCTCAATCATGTGGCGGCAAACAATTGCGCCCACTTAGCGTCCATGGGTGTCGCAATTGACGGTGTAATCTTTGGGGGTTGACATCAGTAGATTATAGCAGTGAGTTTATCGGGCTGGTCACGTAAACTTATCCACCCTTGAGAAAAATGCGCCGAAGTAATACTATATAGTTGGCGTTGCAACTTGTTTACTCTCCTAAAAATAATTGAGAATAAAAACCGAATGAAATATAAAAATATAAGAGAAGAAGAGCTAAAAAATAAGGTTGGCGCAGATTGGTTTAAGCAGTTTGATACAACTGAAATAATAGGCAATATTGATTTTACGGTTTGCCAAAAGCAAGATACTTTGTTTGGCAGGGTTGCTTTGCTGTGGGCAGAAGCCAAAACGGGTGACTTTGACATCATCACCATGTTTGTGCAATTAATACTCACCATAGGTAAAGCACGCACTTTTGATAAAACACTTCCACCTGCATTTTTAGGCGGTTTTGACTTCAAAAAAATTGCATTTATTCCTTATTTAAGCGTGCAAGATATTTTTTACCTCAACGACTTTAACTGGAACGTACCGCCTAGCAACCACCAAACAAAAGAGTTTCAACTCATCAAACAACGCATTGAAGCCACGTTAAAACAAAACGCCAATATTTATGATTATGAAAAAGATGAAAAAGAACTTAACCAATTCATCAAAAACAATATTGCAAAAGCCACCACCGCAAGCAAACTAAAAATCGACAAAAACAACTTTATCCCAATCTACTTGCGCTGGCTAGAATTAGTTAAACCCATTATTGACGTAAATTGGGATGACCTTAAAAGAGCCAATATTTTAGATAGTGATTTTTACCTTGCTGATTTATTTGTAGATGACAAAGACACCGTCAACATAGAAGATGACCTTTCAATTAGAGATAATCTATTTGTGGTTTACCAAAACTCAGGCTACAAAATTGCTAAAGAAAACATCAGGCAAATGTTTGATGCCACCATTGGCTTAAAAAGCAAAGAAACCTACCAACAATTTTGGAACCGCTACAAACGCCCGCCAATAAAAGAGTTTCAAGATTACATTATTGAGCGTAGAGATTTACTGGTGCCGCAAGATATTCGTGAGCGCAAAGGCGCATTTTTTACCCCACGCCAATGGGTAGAGCTTTCACAAAAATATCTCACCGATTATTTAGGTGAAAACTGGCAAGATGAATATTTTATTTGGGATTGTGCCGCAGGCACAGGTAATTTATTGGCGGGTTTAACCAACAAATACAACATTTACGCCAGCACGCTAGACCAAGCCGATGTGAACGTGATGCACGAACGTATAGACCACGGTGCAAATTTACTCAAAAGCCATGTGTTTCAGTTTGACTTTTTAAATGACGATTTCACCAAGCTACCACAAAGTTTGCAAGACATTATTAACGACGAAGAAAAACGCAAAAAGTTAGTGATTTATATTAATCCGCCATATGCGGAGGCAGGGACAGGTTTAGGTAAACAACACAAAGAAGGGGTTGCTACTAAACACAAAACAAAGGAAAAATACAAGCAAGAACTCGGAAAAGCGACTAACGAAATTTTTGCACAATTTTTGATCCGTATTTACAAGGAAATTCCTAGCTGCAAGATTGCAAATTTTTCAAAGTTGAAAAATTTGCAATCTTCTAATTTTTTAAATTTCCGTCAAAATTTCCGAGCCAAGCTCGAAAAGATTTTTTTGAGTCCAGCCGATACTTTCGACAATGTTAAGGGAAGTTTTCCAATTGGTTTCTTTATTTGGAATGCCGAAGAAAAAGAAGATTTTGGATTCATTAGTGCAGACGTTTATGACAAAAAAGAAAACTTCATTGGCGCAAAAAATATTTACAGCTATGACGATTTAAAGAAAGGCAAAATCAATGATTGGCTGAGAAAATATAATGACAAAATGGGAACTATTATTGGAATAATGCACAATAATAAAACCGATTTTCAGCACAATACTCAAGTAGTAATTACTTCTGATGATAACAAAGACCATACTGCTCCAATTACTGCAAAAAACCTAATTGAGATGGCTATTTATTTGGCTGCAAGAAAATGTATTCCAGCCACTTGGCTCAACGATAGAGATCAGTTCTTATATCCCAACGATGGTTGGCAAGCAGATACAGAGTTTCAAAGCGACTGTTTAACCTTTACCTTGTTCAATAATAATATACAAAGTAAATATGGCGCAAACCACTGGATTCCATTCACCGAACAAGAAGTGAACGCCAAAGAAAAGTTTGCTAGCCATTTTATGACCGACTTTATCAACGGCAAATTAAAAGCCGAGCAACAAGTGCAAAACACCTTGTTTGAAACCGAAGCAAGCAATGGCGCGCAATCTAATCAGCCAAGGCAGTTTTCAGCAGAAGCCACAGCGGTTTTTGATGCTGGGCGTGAACTTTGGAAATATTATCACCAACAAAATGGCATCAATGTAAACGCCAGTTTGTATGACATTAGAGAGCATTTTCAGGGCAGAAATGCACAAGGTAGAATGAACTCAACTAGCCTTGATGCACAATACACCGCCTTGATTGGTGATTTGCGGGCTAAGTTAAATGTGTTGGCAGACAAAATTAAACCAAAAGTTTATGAATATGGCTTTCTTAAAGCGTAATATCTGTGAGATATAAACTCAATTCCAGCTTACGCCAGAATAACTACCAACTTAACAAAAGTGCCCTTTAAACAAGCTCACGCGTCTCAGCAAATTCAATATCTGGGTAGCGCTCTTGCGCCATTTGCAAATTCACGCGGTTTGGCGCAAGGTAAACATAATCATCCGCCACATCTAAGGCTACGTTAAAGCCGTATTTATCAGCAATCGCTTTTAAATCCGCATCTTTACCGCGTAGCCAGCGCGCGGTATAGCAGTCGTAAGGTTCAAACACCATTTCAACGCTGTATTCATGTTCTAAGCGGTGCGCCACCACTTCAAATTGCAACATACCCACTGCACCTAAAATTAAATCGTTACTCAATAACGGGCGAAACAATTGCGCCGCACCTTCTTCAGAAAGTTGTTTAAGTCCAATTTGTAACTGCTTCATTTTAATTGGATTTTTAATTCTAGCTCGGCGGAAAAATTCTGGCGCAAAGCTTGGAATACCCGTAAATTTAAGATTTTCGTTCTCGGTAAATGTATCGCCCACTTTAATGGTGCCGTGGTTAGGGATGCCAATAATATCGCCAGAATAGGCTTCATCCATGGTGGTGCGGTCTTGCGCCATAAAGGTAATGGCGTTGTTGACAGCCATCATTTTGCCGGTGGCGACTTGTTTTATTTTCATTCCACGCTCAAAACGGCCTGAACACACGCGCAAAAATGCAATGCGGTCTCGGTGTTTAGGGTCCATATTGGCTTGTATTTTAAATACAAAGCCTGAAAATTTAGGCTCATCTGGCGCCACCATGCGGCTAGACGAGTTACGTGCCAATGGTGCAGGGGATAAATCGACCACGGCATCTAACAAGCTTTGCACGCCAAAGTTATTAATGGCTGAGCCAAAATACACCGGTGTTTGCTTGCCGCTTAAATAGCGCGCTTTATCAAAGCTGTGGGATGCGCCACGCACTAATTCAATATCCACGCGCAAATCAGCCGCAACAGGGCCTAGCAACTCGTCCAAACGCGGATTATCTAAGCCTTGAATCACTTCCGACGTGCCTTTTTCTGCGCGTGGGTCAAAAAACGAAACAGAATCTGTGTACAAGTTATAAACGCCACGGAAGCTTTTACCCATACCAATCGGCCACGTCATTGGCGCACATTCCATGCCAAGCGTGGTTTCAATTTCATCGAGCAATTCAATTGGTGCGCGGCTTTCGCGGTCTAACTTGTTAATAAAGGTGATAATCGGTGTGTCGCGCATGCGGCACACATTGAGCAGCTTAATGGTTTGCGCTTCTACGCCATTCACCGAGTCAATTACCATCACGGCTGAATCCACGGCAGTCAGCGTGCGATAAGTATCTTCAGAAAAGTCATCATGGCCGGGCGTATCGAGCAAGTTCACCATGTGCTCGCGATAAGGAAACTGCATGACCGATGAAGTCACCGAAATGCCACGTTGTTTTTCTAACTCCATCCAGTCCGATGTTGCATGGCGCGATGCTTTGCGGCCACGCACTTCACCCGCTACTTGTATAGCACCGCCAAACCACAACAGTTTTTCAGTAAGTGTGGTTTTACCCGCATCGGGGTGCGAAATAATAGCAAACGTGCGACGGCGGGTGATTTCTTCTTGTAAAGACATGAGGTGAAAGTGCGCTTAAAAAACCAAAGGCTGCATTTTACCCGAAAACCTAGCAATGCCGACAGTTTGGCAAAAATTGCAATTTAATTTTTAAGCTAAAATCCGCCCGAGGATTTTTTGTGCCTCTACAAGCCGCATGCAGACTGGCTTACAGAGGAGGTGAAATGATGTTGTATTAAAAATAGTGATTTTAGATACAAAAATAAGTCAAGTCTGTCATTCTGAGCGTAGCGAGACAGTAAAGGTCTTCACCGCCGATCTAAGCCGCTAAAGCAGCAAGATTGAGCGCGAAAGAATCCATGATTTTCGTGACATTTTAACTGCTGGATTCTTCGTTTCACTCATAATGTCGGGATGGGAGATTTTTCATACGGTGCAATAAGTAAGCTATTGCGCCTTACGGGTTATTGAGGAGCATTTTCAGCAATTTTTTTGAGAAATTGCATGGATTGATTTTCTGCAGCGGTTAATTCGACTGTATCCAGTTGCCCGCAGTAAACCTTGAGGTTGCCAGTGTCTGTTGTGTCTACTCTTTTATGCCCATACTGAATAATGGTAATACGCCATGCACAAGAAGCTATTCTATTTTCCTGCCGCAATCCATAGGCATAGTTGCGTTGTGCTTGGTAGTTGCCTTGCAGTGCCAACCATTCTTCATCCTCAGACAATGGTTGTACGCCATAGGGGAGGTCACCCTTATCAAATCTACCGATTGCTTCTGAAGCGGTATTCCAGAACCTGATGCGCGGTATTTTCATTCCAGATAGTTCAACTATTCCAGAATGTTCAGTCGCTGTATCAGAGGCCGCTTTTTGTTCCTTGGCGTTTAATGAACTACAACTTGCTGTGAGACCAGCCTCCCATTTTTTAATTAAAAGTTTTGTATTAAGCAATGCCGTTACACATGGCTGTAATTTTTCGGGAACTTCAAACGGGACGGATGCAGGTATAGGGACGTCATTTTCTACGGTTTTTTTGTCGTCATCTGGAAGTTGTCCAGAATTTGACTTTGGTTCACACCCGACCATAAACACGGCAAATACGACCATTAATGCTTTATGCATACTAATCCTTAGTATTACTCGAGCCTAACGAATTAAGGGGCAGCGAAGCAGTTTCGCTTTAATAATGAGGAGTTCGGCTCATGATAAACCAGCCCACAGCTTAATTTCTTCAATACTTTTCTGACCAAGACCAGATATTTTTGTGAGCTTTCCAGTTGGGGCTGCTTCAATAACACATTTTTTATTTTCGTAACCTGCGCTTATTAGAAGGTTTTCGGTTTTCTTACTTAATCCGAAAGTCCATTTTTTTTCTTGATTACACTGATCAATAAGTGCTTCTGCTTTACGTAAGATTTGTCCAACTCTGGTTTGACTAATGCCAAAGGTTCTAGAAATTTCTTTGTATGAGTTTCCCGAGTTTCTTAGTTTCAGAATAGCAACCTGTCTTTCATCTAACATCAAATGTACCCCATAAATTTAATAAGCCTAATGCCTAAAGTTGGTGTCCTGATTGTCGCTCATAATACGTCAAAACTGTATTCGATATATCTTTTAAAATTTTTATTTAGACAAAATCTTAAAGTCAATATTTTTTAATTTCAAGAGTTTTGATTTAGAAATAATTATTACCTATTTCACCACTTCCTTCAATTGCTCCAAAATCGCAGGGTTATCCAATGTCGAAATATCCGCCGTAATTTCTTCGCCTTTAGCTAATGTGCGTAGCAAGCGGCGCATAATTTTGCCAGAGCGGGTTTTGGGGAGGTTGTCACCAAAGCGAATTTCATCAGGCTTGGCGATCGGGCCAATTTCTTTGCCTACCCAGTCACGCAATTCCGCCACGATTTTCTTAGCGTCATCACCTGTTGGGCGCGCGCCTTTTAGCACCACATAAGCCACTACCGCTTCACCTTTTACATCGTGCGGTTTGCCCACCACGGCGGCTTCAGCCACGAGGTGGTTTGATACGAGCGCAGATTCAATTTCCATTGTGCCTAAGCGGTGGCCTGATACGTTGAGCACGTCATCAATACGCCCCATAATGGTGAAATTACCTGTTGTAGCGTCGCGCACCGCGCCATCACCCGCTAAATAAGTTTTGCCGCCTAGGTCAGCAGGGTAATAGCTCGCTACATAGCGCTCAGGGTCGTTATATATTGTGCGTATCATAGAAGGCCAAGGTTTTTTAATCACCAACAAGCCGCCGGTACCCCAAGGCACGTCGTGGCCAGTTTCATCCACCACATCAATGGAAATGCCAGGGAAAGGTAGCGTGCATGAGCCTGGCACCAGTGCCGTTGCACCTGGTAACGGCGTAATCACATGGCCGCCAGTTTCGGTTTGCCAGAAGGTATCTACAATCGGGCAATGGCCGCCACCCACGTTTTCAAAATACCACATCCAAGCTTCTGGGTTAATTGGTTCGCCCACTGAGCCGAGTAAGCGTAAACTTGAGAGCTTGAAGTTTTTAGGGTGTACTTCTGGCGTGGTTTCACTGGCTTTAATCAGCGAACGAATAGCGGTGGGTGCAGTATAGAAAATCGTGACTTTATGTTTTTCTATCATCTGCCAAAAACGTGCTGCATTTGGGTAGGTGGGGATGCCCTCAAACACTACTTGTGTGGCACCCATTGCCAATGGGCCATATGCCACATAGCTGTGGCCTGTAATCCAGCCTACATCGGCGGTACACCAAAACACATCATTTGATTTAATATCAAACGTCCAGCGCATGGTGTTCATGGTATGTAGCAGATAACCAGCGCTGCTGTGTTGCACGCCTTTGGGTTTGCCTGTTGAGCCGCTTGTGTATAGCAAAAAGAGCGGGTGCTCAGCATTCACCATTACAGGTTCGCAAGTGTCTGCACAGCCCGCGATTAAATCGCTCCACCACATGTCTTTGCTATTCCATGCCACTTCTTGACCCGTTTTTTTCAAAACGATGATTTTTTCAATGCTATCGCAGCCACCCATGGCAATGCCTTCGTCCACAGCTACTTTTAATGGCATGGTTTTGCCGCCGCGAAATTGACCATCGCATGTAATTACCACCTTAGCGCCTGCATCAATAATGCGCTCGTTTAAACTTTTGGCAGAAAATCCACCAAATACAACAGAGTGAATTAAGCCAATACGCGCGCAGGCTTGCATGGCGATCACGGCTTCTATGCCCATCGGCAAGTAAATAATCACGCGGTCACCAATATTTAAATTCAGCTTTTTGAGGCCATTGGCGAATTGGCAAACTTGATGGTAGAGTTCTTTGTAGCTCACATTTTTGCTGGTGCCGTCATCGGCTTCAAAAATAATGGCTGTTTTATTGGGAATGGTGTTTAAATGGCGGTCTAAGCAGTTGGCAGAAACATTGAGTTCGCCATCTTCAAACCATTTGTAAAAAGGCGCGTTTTCTTCATTGAGGGTTTTAGTAAAAGGTTTGTGCCAAATCAATAACTCACGCGCAAGTTTAGCCCAAAATCCTTCGTAGTCGGCATTGGCCTCTGCGCACAACGCGTTGTAAGCTGCCATGCCACTGACGTTGGCTTGTTTCACAAAGTCTTGGCTTGGTGTAAAAACACGGTTTTCGTGTAATACTGATTCGATAGACATGCTAAAAATCTCCCTAATGTGTGACGGCTTTAGTTAAAATGGTGTTCAATTGTAAAACGTATCTTACCCTAAATTATTTATGCAAACACACTCTGAAACTGCAATAAATCAAGGTTTAAGCCAAGTGCAAAGCTCAGTTTTGCAAAAAATTGATGATTGCAGCCCTTTTGCCAGCAGGCTATTTTCGCGAGATGCCTATTTACAGGCAGATTTACAAGAAAATCTGCAAATTCCGTATCAATTAGCTGAAATGCAAAAATTTTTAGCCAGCCAGCAAATTGTGGACGAAAATTCACTTAAAAGCGCTCTTAGAAAACTCAGGCAAAGAGTGATGTTACGCATGATTGCGCGTGATTTAAATGGTTTGGCTAACTTATTTGAAGTCATGCAAACCACCAGCCAGCTTGCAGAATACGCCATTAATATTGCTATTGATTATCTCAACACTTGGCTAGTAGAAATTCATGGACAGCCTTTAGATACGCAAGGTTACCCGCAAAGTTTGATTGTAATAGGCATGGGCAAATTGGGCGGCGGTGAGCTTAATGTGTCTTCCGACATTGACTTGATTTTTGCCTATGAGAATGAGGGCGAAACGCAGTCAGAAGACCCGATTAGTAACCAAGATTTTTTTACCAAGCTAGGTAAAAAGCTCATCGCAGTGATTGATGAAACCACTGAAGATGGCTTTGTTTTTCGAGTGGATATGCGCCTGCGGCCGTTTGGCAGTGAGGGCGCGTTAGTGAGCAACCTTGACGCCTTAGAAGAGTATTACCAAAATAATGGACGCGAATGGGAGCGCTATGCGTGGATTAAAGGCCGAGAAGTGACAGGTGGCAACCAAGTTTCTAAACTATTAAAATCATTTGTTTTTCGCAAATATTTAGATTTTGGTGCGTTTGCCAGCATGCGCGATTTAAAAATTCAAATCCAACGTGATGTGAACAGCAAAGGCATGGTGGATAACATCAAGCTTGGGCGCGGTGGAATTCGCGAGATTGAATTTATTGCGCAGGTGTTTCAACTCATTCGTGGCGGGCAAGATGTCAGTTTGCAAATCAAACCCACACTTGAAGTGCTAAAGCATCTTAAAAATAAAGGCTTATTACCAGAAAAAACGGTGGTAGAACTATCCGAAGCCTACATTTTTTTGCGTAATTTAGAGCACCGTTTGATGTACATTGAAGATGCGCAAACGCAAGATTTGCCCAAAACTGAAGAGGGCAAAACTCGCATTTTTAAAGCCATGAATGTGGCAAACTGGGATGACTTTTTAAGTAAATTGAATCATCATCGTAACTTAGTGCAGCAACATTTTGACGCGACTTTTAGCGAAGAAAAAGCCGATGCGCAAAGCCTAGACAGCGAGAAAAACTTATGGAATGGCGCACTTAGCGAGCAAG